GCGCAGCGTCTGCAGCGCGCCCAGCAGGCGGTGCTGCTGTCCCCGGAGCGGCTTGGCAGCGCGCGAAGGGTCACGTGCTTTGTTGTTTTCGGTGGTTCGTGAGGGGCCACATCGGTGCACAAATGGGACGTGTAAAGGGGCGCGTTGGTGGACCTCATTTACACCAGGGGTCTATGTCTACTAAGCATGTTGGAGGGTATTCCATTCCAATCATTAATCAGGTAGCCATTAGTTGGTGGTTTGGATCGGTGCTTTGGGGATTGGACCCCCGGGTTCTTGTTGAGGGTATATGGGAAACCACCCTGAACCTCCAAAGCACCAGTCCAAGCCACCAAATACAGCTGATAGAAGGGTGTTTTGTTGGTTGGGTGTTGATTTTTTTTTCTACTTTGCTGCTGAAAGTTGCCTGGGTTTGTTTTGGGTTTGGTGCCGCCCAAAACTGGGGCACCGTCAAAAGACAACCCCACTTAGTTAGTTCAACAGTTGTTCGCTTTTGTTGCTTCGATAAACAATTTAAAATTCAATCGGGCCTGGATTCAAGATTCAAGAATCCAGGCCAAGCTTTCCAGGGAATCTTGAATCTTGAATCCAAGCCCAGGTTTCCTTCAATCTTTTGACATCTAGACCCAGATTCAAGATTCAAGGTTCAATATTCCAGGGCATTTTTTTCTCTGGGAATCTTGAATCTTGAACCCAGCCCAGATTTAAAGATTACAAGCCAAACGTTTCCAGGCAATCTTGAATCTTGAATCCAAGCCCAGATTTAAATTCAATCTCGTTCAATATGTTCAAATCTAGGCCCAGATTCAAGATTCACGACTTCAGGGCAATGCTTTTCAGGGAATCTTGAATCTTGAATCTTGAGCCCAGGCCCAGATTTAAAGATTACAAGCCACACTTTTCCAGGCAATCTTGAATCTTGAATCCAAGCCCAGATTTCAATTTCGTTCAATATTTTCAAATCTAGGCCCAGATTCAAGATTGCAGGCCAAGCTTTTCTAGCGGCTCTTGAATCTTGAATCTTGACTCCAGGGGCGGTTTTCCTCGCGGTGTTCCCTTAAGAAAGCCACGAAGAGCAGCGGGTACCAACTTCAAAAACAACACACTGACATTGGTACCCAAAGTTATACATGTAAAGACCACCAAAACAAAGCTGATTTTGAGTACCTGTACAGCTATGAGTTTTAATGGGGAACCCCCTGAAAAGTGGTTGGGGGACATAAATCCCCAACTGATTCCACCAAAGGGTCCCTAATTTATATTCTGAAACCTGAAGGGGGCAGGTCCTTCAGATGTGGGAAATAGAACTTTAAGAGCCTTCTGAAGCCGCAGTTAGCTCAAGACCCGTAGAAACCCTTTGGAAGCCATGCCAAAGTCTCGGAAAGTCGCGAGGTTCAACACCTTGGGCGACCCCCTGCCGAAGCCGGAGCCCCGGGCGCCCACAGTTGCCACCGGCCCAACCGCGCAGAAGCCCTACAAGGCGGCGAAATGGGTGGTATGTGTTGGTATTTCTGGTATTTCGGATATTTGTGTTTGTCTTGGCTCATAATCCCTCTGTCTTTTGTGGATTTGTGCTTGATGCTTGTCTTTTTTGGGGGGTTTGCTTTGCTGGATGTGTTTGTGTCGCTGCCTTTTTTGGTGGGGGGGGGGGACACAAGGACCTGTGTTGTTTTTTGTTTGTTTGTGTGTGTGTGTGTTTTTTCTGTTGGTTTTCGGGAGGGAGAGGGATTGGTCAAACCGCGGCTGCACAGAGCTGTATACATTTGCACAGTTGCGGAATAGCATTTTGTGCTACCATTTGGTGAGAAGACTGTGTGTGTGTGTGTGTTGTGTTTGCCGTTTCTTGTATATTTACCGTTTCGGATCTGAATGTTGCAACCTTTTCTGGGGGATGGGGTTCCAAGCAAAATTGGTTGTGGGAAAGCTGGGTGTCTCAACCAGACTCTGGGGGCTGTTTTTGGAGCATTCGACAAGTCCTCAAGGTCCTGCGGTTTCCTAAACTCGAAACTGGCGCCCCCAGTTTCCGGACTTCTGCTCCGCTCCGGGCTGATGCTTGTGGGAAGTCTGGGCAAAAATCCCACTTCGCGCTAGTTGGTAGATGGTTTATGAAAGAATTGGCGTGGTTTCATTCCATGCCAAAGGGCGCAGGATTTTGTCCAATCCACAGGAGGGGTTTCACAGTCAGACACTGAAATGAATACCACTTGTGGAGGGCGACTTTGATCTCGGGTAAACACATTTTACCAGTAAATTGAATCACGCCCTCGGGACCCCACCAGTCTTAAGCCAGACGAGTCAGGTTCCACGTCAATGGTCGGAAGGGCAACTACTGGAAGTTGATGTAAACATTTTGAAGCTTAAGATGAACCTTGATATGTTCCAAATAGCTCTCACGATTTTTCTTGGGAGGGTCTCTTGAGAGATGAAATGACCCCAGACATCTCTCACTTCACACTCACTAGATCACCTCCCAACAAACGTTGACATAGGACCTGCAGAACCTTTTCAATCCGCCAGGCGGCCATTGTCCTGTTCCTGGCTGGGGGAGCAGATACCTGGAACATGGTGGTGCCGCAGAACTGCCCCATATACCAGGCCGACAACAGAAGATACATGCTTCGTGGATCAATTTCTGCGCGCGAGCAGGGTGTGGGCGTGTGTGTGCGTGTGCGTGCGTGCGCGTGCCCGTGTGCGTTTGCGTCTGTGTCTGCGTGGATGTCCTTCTTGGGGTGGTTGAAAGGCAAACCAAAGGCACCACTACCGGAGATCAATTTTTGACACACTCACACACACGACCCGCTAGGGAGCCCTGAGTAGAACCAGTGGGTTTCCACTTGCTTTCCTTGATTTCAGATCCCCATTTCATTTGTTGAAAAGGGCACGCCCATACCTTCCGGGGAATGGGTAGTATTGATTTGCTGTAATTTGCTTGTGGTGTGATGGGAAATGTAGGGAGCCCTGGATGAAAAGGTTGGAGGCTCCTGCAAAGGAATCACCCTTTAACTTCGACAGTGCTCGAACAGGTCGTGTGTACCTGTGTCAAAATGGGGACCCCTAAAAACGGAGTCCCTTTCAGAGAAATTCGTCCAAACAGATGGGAGGGGAAAGCGTTTGGGCCAGGAATATGTAGACTTCCGCACCGACCTGCACTTGGATCCTGAGGAGTGGGCATGGGGTGTCCTATCCGTCAGAAACATAGGGGCGTCTTGTCTGATGGTACCATGTTTTTTGTTGTTTTCAAACAAGAGACACAGCCAGATGGATTCCAGGAAGTGGGCTGCGTACCAGACCTGTGGCTTGACACTGCTCTCAATTGTTTGGTTGCAACCCGGGTCCCCCACTGGAGCCATGGGGCTTCCAAATGCCAAATCGGACGAGAAAGGGCTGTGCTCCCAGAAGAAAGAGACACCGCAAAAAATACACGCAAACATGACACTGCGTTGAGTGAGAATCCAAAGGGAACGCCTGGTGGTCTCTGTGGCTGGCACTCTCTGATGTCGCTCTTAGCTTGGCAGAATTTGGTCTTCGGCGCCCTTGGCGGCGCATTTCAACCCAAACATGTCCGTCCAAATGGGGTCCCGTCATTTGAGTGGGAAGATCCGACTTTTTGGGTAGTTCGTCCATGCGTTGCACATCTTTGCCGTCACCACCTTTTTGCTTGCGGTTGAATGGCATCATGGACCCCTTTGTCAAGGGAATTCAGGCTCCAGAATTGAGAGCCAGCCCACTGGGGCTCCGCACCGAGTTTTGCTTTTTGGTTCTCCTGGGCCATACAGTTGGTCCTTTCTTTGGGGCATGAAGGCTTCTCTTGGGGTGAAGACTGCTGGATTCATGAGACTCCTGCCTTGATGGGTGCCATGGATTCCCAGCACTGACTCTGAGCTCGAATCGAGTTGCGAGGACCTGATCGCGATCAACGTCACGGGCCAGCCCTGCAGTCCCTTGGCTTGGTTGGAGCTGAGAAAAAACCATTCCCATGGTCAATGGAACTGATAAACACCAAGCCATTTCCCTGGTGTTGCTGGTTCCATCGGTGGGTGAAACCAAAACACTGATGGAAAACGAGGGGTCTATGCAAGTCAACCTCCACGCCTCCAAGCCGTGAACATGCCATTGTTCTCTGGGGAGTTAGAGAAGATTTTGCATGTGCCATTTTGAATGAAGCAATGGCATATGTAGTTGATGCCACAGCCCAACTCCGATCATGGAAGCCTTTTGCCCCCCCAAAGATCCCGCCGCAACCATTGCTTGGGAACCTATTTGACAACTTACTTGGCCTCTAAAGAGGCCCTTGGGCTTTTCTTCCAAACATGGGGTTGTAACCCAACTAATCAAAGTGCACTGCCCGTTTTCAGGTCCCTTTTCAGTTGTTTGTTGATTCGTTATGGGGCCAACACAATTGCAGCGTATTTGGCAAGGTTTATTCAGCCCCTAATCCTTGGGGGGGTCTATAGGGATTGAACATGACTTGAGTTGGATAGTTCTTGTGTGCCACTCAACGACAACAAGTTGTTCAATTTTGTTTGGGGCCTGGGGCCGCTTTATACGCGGCATCGTCCATTTGGGTGGGACTCATGAAATTTTCCACCAACGCCAGAAGACTTACGGATTCTTTACCATGTCTGTAGGGAAACCGCAGATTTTGACCTCCAGGTGAATTCGGCATCCACGGGTCCTTCAGCTACCTCAAGGAGCTCTATGATGAGAAGGACAGGGTTCAGGTGTTGCACCGGGGTCTCCTTCCGACCCTTTAAAATTCGCCCCCCCCCCCCCCAATTTAGGGTCATCCTTGAAAACACATCTTTTGCCATGGCGATGCGAACCAAGACTATATCAAGCTTCTTCAATTGCCCAGGGCTTGGGATGAACGCCCTGGCCGAGATTTTCCGGCGAGAACAAGGCTGCAACCCAACCAAGCATACCATGGATGGACAAAATCCATTTTGCACCAGTTGGTAGGTGGTTTGCCCCTTTATTTATGGGGTTTCATCTATCCCAAGTGGTGCGAAGTGGATTTTGTCCACCCACCGTGGCACAGTCAGTTTCAAGCCACTGTATTGGAAAGAGGTATGGACCAAAAATGAAGGACAGCAGCCGGAACCCTAGCGGAACCCTAGCTCTTCAATTCTGGGCCAATCAACTCCCGCTCTGATTGGCTGCAACAGGCACCAACTTGCAACTAGTGGCTCGCATTGTCAAGCCACGAGTTCAATGACCATTCCTCTTCTGTGATATCATTCAACGGCCTTCTCCATGATTAGTACACAAGGCGAGGTTCCTAAATCACAGAGAGGGACTCAGCCACATTCCCACAACCCATAGGTTTCCTCCCCATCAGAGCCAAGGCAACCCCCTGGCCAAGTTGCCCGCCCTGGCAAAAAACCAGCCTGAAAAAACCAGCCCCAGGGACAAACAACTACCTCTATTTTCAATGAACAGGACACCTGGCCCAACTATCTTTGGAGTCCATGGCGTCTGATGGATGGTTTGATGGGTCAGGACTTGGCCTTTGTGACGAACATCGGGTCCTTGGTGGAGCCTTTGAACAAGCAGCAGTTCCGCGGCGGCCTCAAGCGGAGGCCGCGCTTCCGAAACTTGGGGCTGGGTAAAGAAAGAATCTGGAGCGTTCTGACGCTGGAGAAGTCGCCTTGTAAAAGTATGGAAACCTGAAGGGGTCCCTATGCTTCCAACAGGCAGGTGACATCAAATGTGGCCAAGGATCGTGTAAAGAGCGGGTGCTGCCAGTGAAGGGCGGAGATGCAAGTGATGTTGGCGATGCTGGTGGTGTTTGAAGGAGCTGCCTGTGAGTGATGCTTTTTATGTTTGTTTCAGGATTTGCGGGGTTCTGTTCCTTGGAAAGGGCAATCGAACGAACCCAGGAGCCGCGAGTCAATAGCCAACCCAATCTTTGGCTGATTTGGGCATCAGACAGACCGGCAACACTGTACCTCCATCTTTGGCTCATTCGGGATTCCGTTACTTTCGCTCAAGGATCGTAGTCTTCCGAAGCCATCCCGCCCACTTCCCCTATGGCTCAAATCTATATGTTTTTGGGGGTGGGACCAAATATGAACGCCAGGATCAGATCCTCTGGTGACATCTTCTTTTTCCGATTTTCGGCCCAAGGGTCGGGCTGAATTCAACTCCACGCCCCAGCCTCGCGCCAGGTGCGTGGGGCTGTTCTCCCACTCGGACCAGCAGACGGCCGCGCAGACCTTGGAGTGCCAGACGGAGGGCAACAGCCCCCGAGGCGCGGGATCGATTCCGATCGGATGCGGATGAGCCTCCGAAAAAGCCGTGGTGGGTGTGGGTCAAAAGCAGCGTGGGTGCGGGTCAAAGTTCTCGTCACCAGGAAATATGGACTGGTGTCCGGGTCCTTGCCATTTACCAGGATGCAACCCACGTGTTTGGGGGTACCCCATTGTCGACCAGCCGCGTGTTCCCTTTTTCCAGAGAAGCTCTCTTTTTGGTACAAAGGTAAGAGGGGCTTGGTCAGGGACACCCCAAAGACAACCCCAACAATATCCGGGATGAATGCAGTATATTTTGGTTTTGGACCGTCTGGTGGACATCAGAATTCAGTGGGGATGGGAAAAACCATGAAAGACCTCAAACTCCTGGCTGATTTTGATCGGTTGTAGTGGGAATCCGCATCACTTTAGTGGGTAACACCCCCGGTTCATAAACTCCGAGGTTCCCATTATCAAACACACCAGCTACAGGAAATTCGGTAGGAAGCTCCACAGGAAATTCTTGTTTCTGTGTATTGGCCAAGATTTGCCTAAGGCATCCTGGTTCGCTGGTTTTTGTGTCTTCCAAGGCCGCCCACAACAAACGCCCTTGTCACTCGAGCCAGACTGAGGCGCTGGGGGGCGCATGACGGACGCTTTGGTGAGCCAGGAGATGCGGACAGTCGCGCTGGTTGGGTTCTGTTTGTGGTTGTGTATGTTGTGTCTTTTTGAGGCTGGGTACCCTTTTCATGCTGGTTTCAAGGGAAACCAAAAGGACTCTGCCCATTTTGGGGGTCCCCCTATTTTGAGACAAGCCTCAGTGGAAATGGGCATGTTTGCGTAAAATATGCTCAGCCCAAACCTTGGAAGCCACCCAACGGGGCCACCCAGTGATCCCATTTGCCTCAGGCTAAACGAAACCGGTTACCAGGGTGCCAATTTTCTCACCACTTAAAATGTTTCCCCCCAACGAAAAGCCTTCGCAAGAAGTCAACTGGCTCCATTCAGGAGGTCCCGGTGCGCGCGACAAGCTTCTCGGTGGCCGGGAGTGCCATCTTCGCCCAAGGGGTGCTCACAAACAGGCGACGCGAAGTCCGGTGAGGAGAAAAATGCCCCCCCCCCTCCCCGCTCGTCGATCACCCCCCCCCCCCCGAGACACCAAAATAAGGAAGACAAGCTGTGGATATGATGCTTCCCCCCTCTTATGGTGTGGCCGTCTTCTGCCTTTGAACAAGGTTCGGCCACTTTCTTGAGTTTGCCAAACAGTCAAGTGTCCATGGCCCTTTGGGATTCGTTGAGGGTGAATAGACTCGATTCTTCATGGCTCGAGTCTGGCGGTTGAAATTCAACCAGCCCAAAAAGCGGGTTTCCCTTCTCATTTCTTTTTGGGGAGGAACCCCTCTTTAAAATCAGCCAAAGCAAGGCGCCGTCCACCTACGGCCAATCGTGGCTTCATTTCGCCTCGCTCTGCCCACTGGGCCAATTCAGCCCGCGACTGTTTAGCTGGGGAGTCTTGGGGTTCTGCTTTTTATTGCGACCTCAGAACAGGGGAACTCTGGAATTCTCTACCATGTGTAACCACCTGCTGACTTTGTGTTTTTTTTGCTGGGGTCAGTAGGATAGACAAGTAGCGCGGGGGAAGAAACTGCTTTGGGACACGTTGGTAATTTTGTTCCCAAAAAGCGGCGTTTCTCAAAATAGCCCCCCCCCGGCTGGTTTCCCTGTGAATACCAACCAGAAGGGGGCTTTTCCACCATTGTGCGAAGCTTCCAATGTCAGGGGACAAATTCCACCCAGTGCTTCCAGCTACCTGCGACTTGTTCCACCATTTTTTTGAGAAGCTCCCAGAATTCGGGGGACACATCCCATGTGTAGCCCGGCGCTTGCTTTGGTTTCTGGGTTTCTGCTAGGCAGATCGTGAGCGAGGCGGGGAACAAGCGCTTTGCGGACTTCGAGCTCTGGAGGGAGGCCATCTCCAACATCACCAGGCGCAGTTCCACAGGTTCCACGGGTACCATGTTGGGTTGTAACACGCTGCCAGACGGATAGCTTGTGCACCGAGGACGCGGGAAGCAACCAGTTCGCACCTGTTGCGGGTCGGATTGGTTCGGTTTGAGGGACCCCACCTGGGGTCCCATCAGTTCCAGATTGGTTTGGGGGACCTGTGCGTTCCATGGGTTCCATGCCAGTGCGATCCGGGCGTAAAACGAGAGAGTCCGCCCGTGAAGGATTCTTTCCTTGCTTATGGTTCCTCATTTACGGTTTCTGTGGTAATTGTCCAGAGGCACATGAGTGTGCTTTTCCCGGCCAATAGACGTTTCTCTAGAAAGGTGTAGCCCTTGTTGGGGTGACGTCAAGGGACACCTAAGGGTGATGATGTTGGAGTTTCCGTGGTTTTCACCCTTTTTCATTCTTCCAGAGGGGTGTCAAAAGACAAACCCCCAAGCCTGGATATGACGCTTTTAAGGGCGGTGTCCACTCCTCCCCAGCCCACCGCCTTATGTTTTGAGGTCTTTTGGGGTCAACACTTGTATTTTGGGGCTTTCTTTCGATTCAAAGGGGATCATCAGGGAACTGCTTTAAGGTCTTTTCGGGTCAAACCCCCTATATATATACACATATACACATACATTTACGGCTTCTCTTTCGACCCAGGTACCTGCGGGCGCGAAGCCGAAGCCCCTGCGGACACGCCTAAGGTTCAGCTGGACTCGCAGTCAAAACACACAGCTCCCGGAAGACGATGGCAATCCGCCTCTCTCTAATCGGTTTGGATTGCTTTTTTCTCGTTCTTCTCGGGTTGGTAGCAAGCCAATCCAAATTTGCTTTGGATTGCTTTGCTTCAATTTTTCAAGCCAATCCAAATCACCAACTAAGGATTATCTGAAAAAATGTTTCAAAGGTGGCCAAGGAATTCCAGGGTCAAGGAACGGGTTTAACCAATCCAAACCAATGGATTCCCTGAGTCCCAAGCTTTGCCCGCTCGCGAGGCAGCAGCACGCCAACGTCTTCAGCGAGCAGTATGCCAAGGTGGGCATGATTTGAAAGACGGAGAGCTTTTGGTGAGCAAGCCTCCTCCAAAGCATATCTTATTTGGCCAACTATGACACAGAGTTAGGCATTTTGTTTTGGAGAACCCCAGATGTGGGCCAAGCTTAGAGAAATTGAGACGTCCAACCATATGTCACGTTCTTTGTTTCCCAATTAAACCTCATAGGCCGAGCTTTGACCCATTTGGTAAATGCGTGTGTCGTTTTCGGAGGACACCCCTTGTTTGGTTGTTTAAAGGGAAGTTCAAAGGAACCCCGACATCCATCTTCGGGGGTGCGATTCCCCCAAAAGAGAGGCGGCTTTTCTTTTTGGGTTGGTTCAAGAGAAGGCCACCAACTGGAAAACCACCAGTTTGCACACCGCCTTTAAGACACAGAGCATGAGGTGTTCCTGGACTCCATCGAGACGACGGAAGAGCTGGGCCGTGCCATCGAGGCCATGTGCCATCGAGACCACCCCCCAGCCTGGTGTCCTGGGCTGCTCCCTGAGGTTAACAGAACATACCCATGTGACTGATGAACTTGTAGATGTTTTTTTGGCAAAGTGCCTGTAAGCTCTCTTGAATAGACTTCAGCGATGTGACTGAACTTGGTAAGCGGACCCCCTTTGGCAAATCGAAAACTGACACCCGGCCAGAGGTCGACAGGCTCATTTTAGGGCGGAGGGAGCCCAACAAATGCCCTCAAATTGGCAAATATCTAGGCTCCTACTTTCACAGATTCACAACCAATTGGCATGGCTAGCTTTTTTTGTGGCTTAACATGGCAGGGGTTCAAGCCAATTGAGGTATCAATTCTCGCATAGGGCTTATGTTCATCGGGTGACGAGGTATGATTTTCACCAACGCAAAATTGTTGGTGAGGTCGCACCACCCAGATTGTGGCTATCATTCGCCCAATATCCCCAGACCAAAGACCAACCCTGGGGTGGTCCAACTCGCTCCATGTAATAAGTGATCCATGTGTCTCTGACTTAGTGGAAAACACCACGGTCCCGGGGCTATACATTTTAGGACAGAAGTGGTTGGTGGACCTTTTTATCTCCTCGAATTCTGAGGTCCGCAAGTTTGGGTATTGAAACTCATGCCCTTTCGGAGCCCCTGAAGCCACTTTGAGGTTGGCCCTGCTGGAAACGCCGATCCCCCGTTTCGGCTGGAAGTTACAGGGAAGCCGGACTCGGAAACCGTTGCCTACTGGGGTGGACGGAATCCACTTCGCACCACTTGGGACAGATGAACTTCTATGAATAAAGGGATAAACCAAGAACCAAGTGGCGCGAAATGGATTTCGTCCATCAAACGTGGGGGTTGCCATTTTGAGATTTTGAAAGGGCCTAAGGATTCGCAAAAGAGGTTTCGGGACCTAGCGGAGAGGGTTTTTCGCTGTTTCCACTCATCGTGTTTGGAAGGTTTTTGGCTTCTGAAGGGGTTGAGGTAGGCTCCAGAAAAATGGACATTTGACCCCATGCCATATACTCCATCCTCCACAACTTCTGTTTGGAGGTTTTTCGAGGATTCTCCTACAAAAAAGGAGAGTCAGCCATTGTTATGCCATGAGTTGAGTGTTTTTTGTTGTTTTTGCCAGCCCAAAATCTCAGAGATTTCCTGAAGAACCAACAAACTCGAGTCCTGTTGCTCGAGGAACGGGCGTGTCTTCATTTTGAGGACAGTCTGTGTTTTTCGGAAGGACTCCCGTTGTTTTTTCTTTTTTTTCCCCCGAGAACATCCCGTTTTTTGGTGGGCTGAAGCTACTGCGTGGCAGGATGTGGAGCTGGCCACGAGCTACAGCACCAACTCTGGCCTGCAGAAGCAGCTCTCGCAGGCGTGACTTTCCACGCGGCTTGCTGGTGCCATAGGTGGCCACGGGGAACAACCTATGGTCCATTTTGGGGCGGATGAACACCCACGTACCACCTATTTTGATGTTCACCAGGGGTACAGGGTTTTGACCCACAGCCAGGTGGGGAATGAGACATAGAATGACAGGCTGTGGTCCCCAAGGAAACCACCAGTTGGATGGTTTAGAAGGGGCATTCCAAGTCTCGTTCCCTTCTCGCACCAGCGAGAGGAACGCCTGACGGTCCTCTGGGCTTTAGCTGAAGTTCGCATTGAGAAGCATTCTTTGATGTTGACCCCGGAGCAATATACCTTTGGTCCCCTTTGTAGTGGGGATTCCTCGCTTTTTTCTGGGGGGGGGGGTCTGAGTGTTCCCTGAACCAAACCCAGCCCGTCCTCTTTTGACATCAAATATTACGCCCCTACAAACTAACATGGAACCCCAAAAGGGTGTCCTCCAAAAGAAGGTTCCCGTACAAATGGTGGTGTTTTGGGTTCCCAGGAGTATCCCTATTCCAACCACCGTTGAAACAATGGTGGTTAAGAAACTCATCATTCTTTGCCGAATTTGTTTTATCACCTAAATTGGGTCAACCATTATTCAATTGGGGGTAAAACCCTAGAGTGATATTGCTGGATCTCAGCAATATAATGGGATCTCAGCAATATAACGGGCGAGACAAATACCACTCGTTTACTCCCCTAGTCATGAAGTTTGGCTTTACAGTACCCCGCAAGCCAATTCTGATGGTTTGGGGCTTTATCTAGGGTCTCCTGCAACACTGTTATATTCTGGGATAGACCAAACCTGGAGAGGAATCAGACAACATGTTTTCGGAGTGCCCGAGATGTGGGCCAAGCTTATAGTAGGGAATTCAGGGCTAGCATCCAGTAGGGCTCCTTAAAAGATACAAACTCGCAATTTTACCGTTCAAGTCACTCCCAAGCGCTTGGATCCACCGGACGGCTGGCTCTTACAGGGAATTTCATGGGTTTTTGGAATGCCCTGTCCTCTTGGATGGTTCACAGGGGTCATTGCCTTATTCCGCGTTTCTCGCAAAAGTGAAGGATTCAACCTGCAAGGCACATCCTGTCAGCCAAATTGCGTGTTTGATTTCCCAGGGTCCCATTTACCCTACACCTGCAAAGACCCCCTAAGCATTGAGGCCTCAAGGCTTAGCCCCAACTGGCGGCTCTTGCGTGGAACCCTTGGGTTGCTCAAGAAGGCTCACAGCCAGAATCAGGCTGGCATAGAATGGCATAGAACACACAAGGCCAACAAGGCCAAGCAAGGCAACAAACCAGGCACTACACAAGGGTAAACAAGGCAAAGTTGGTCAAAGAAGGCAGACACATGTCAGAACAAGGCCTGACAAGCATCTTTGGTGCGGGGCAAGCGCGAGTGTTGGCCTCGTTTGAAACGAAGCCCCGTGGCGTTCGTTTCTGAGTCGTGTCAGGTGGCCAAGCTGATCCGCGTCCGGGAGGTTCGGAAGGCGGAGAGGGACTTCTTCTTCGTGCAGCCCGGGGGCCCAAGGTGCAAGGCAGCGGCTGAATGGTCGATGTGGGGTGGCTCGTCTTTTGTAAGGTTGACCCAGGATTAATAGACCCGTCCCAGTATTAGGGGGGTGTTCCCTCCAAAAGTGATGAATTCCCACTAACAGGGGACACCGCCCCTATGAATCAACCAGCGGTTTATTGATCCGGGGTCAACATGAGGGGACACCCCAGGAGTTAACATGGCGCAATGGGTTTTCCTTTTGGTTTACTCCTTGCACCAACAAAAAAGAGGATACTATCCTCCAAGAAGGAAAGGACCCGTATTTACTGTCAAATACTGTAGCAAGGGAATAGGGGTTTGTCAAAATTGGGAACCCCGACCCCTTTTTGGATGGCGTTACAGGCAAACCAAAAGGAACCACCTACCTGCAGAAGAACCTTCCCTTCATTTGATTTTCTTGAGTAGCCTCATGGGTGGACTGTCATTAAAAGGGCTGGTCTTTGGTGTGACCGAATCGCTCCTTAGACCTTTTGGAAACCCACATGGATTTCCAGGAAACCTACAAAAGGCAATCGACACGAGAAATATTGACCGTGGCCGAGTTGGGTGCCCCTCTTTGATCGCCATGACCTCGCTGAAACCAACAGCCACAGGGAAATCCCGCAAGTTCGCCAATACCCTGCTCTCCTGCCAACACCAGGTCCCGAACCCGGGCCAGTGCCCCTGTCTCATTTTTGCGCGAGGCAGCTTCCCTTTAGAATCAAGTGCCAAACAAAAGGTGGGGTCTGGGCTGGACAGGAGATTCTTCTACAGGTGTTTTGGAGTGCACGGTGCCAAAATATGGAAGTGGACGATCGGACGGATCTTGGAAGACTACCATCCTCTTGAAGAACCATGATCGTTGGAGACAAGGGTAAGTTGCCTGTTGACAGTTGCAAGCTGGACACTTGTCGTTGGCAGACTTCTTCATAATATTCGTGAGTCAAGGGCGAAACAGTTTGAGCCTTTTATGGGCAGTCAACTCAGTAGGCTAGTTGAGGAACTCACTTACTCAGCGGAATGTGTCCAATGCAATATGAGTCATAGATGATTTGAAAGAAGCACAGATATCTATACTCAATGTTGACTTGCTCGACGTTGCACAAAAGCCAGCAGATGAACTCCTGTTTGTTTCATGCCGATAGTGGGCGAGCCCACTTTTTTTTGACCATGGCAAACATATCCGAGCCGCAAGCAAGCCCGACGATCAAAGGCTGGTAGGGACCGGCCTCGGGGGGCTTCCAGAGGCTTAAGATGTTTTTTTCCCCTCCCAGAAGATATGATGGGGCAAGGTGTGTCTCTTTGCATGAAGCTTCACTGTTCTTTCTAGTGGATCGAGCCCATGTAGTAGGTAGCCACTGGAACCCATCATGTAAAATCCAGAGAAGAAACACCGTACAGTGGCTTGCCTGGATCCGCTGTTCCTGCTTCTAAATCCCACAGCTCAGGGTGGGCGGCTGGGACATGCACTCCAACCTGAACAACGGCCTTGTGAACAGGTCGGACCGAAAGTGGATGGGGGAGCCAAAAGGTTTCCAATTTTTCAGACGCAAAAAAAGAACACGAAGCCATGTGTCAGATTCTTGTACCCCTACCCTCAGATGGTTGAAAGTCTCCCGACCGCCAGTTTTTTTGCTCTCCGTTTCTGAAGCCAAGAGCGCGCCCAAGATGGTTCAAGTCGTATTGGCAGTGTCGTTCCTTCCTGGTTTTTTGGGGTTGCCGCGGACGGAATCCACGCCACAAACCAGTTGGGATGGATGAAACCCGATTCGAATACTGGGATAATCGACCAATCCTAACTAGTGCAGGAGTGTCGTTCCCCCCCCCTCTTCGGCTTTGGCTCTTTTGGTCGAGTCTGTAGGTGGTTTTTTACCACGTTGTCCCTTTGGCGTTTCACCTTTTGTCGGGAATTGAGTCATTCTTTTGGGATTCCTCTACTTGGTATGGTCCTCCGGATTCGTCCGAAACCAGCACTAAGCCCAGCCTTGATTCAAGGGAAACTAAAAGTGAAACAGCTATTTTTTGGGTGTCTCATTTTTGGCAAGCAATGGAACTTTGGTTTTCGCGTCATTTGTCCGCCTCATTGCGGACAGCATGTAGTACGGCTCTTCGGGAAGCCAAGCCTCCGCCTTTGCCACGGTTTTGGCCAACTTACCATGATGTACTCCGCCAGAATACTCCAAATCGGGCTGCTTGGGTTTGCTTAAAACAAACAACAGGCCACCCCAACCAGGGTGCTCAGCCTCAACAAAAAGACCCCCCCAAACCAAAGAAACCAAAGAAACGGCGCTTTGTCAAACACACCTGATTAGCAGGTTGCTTCTCACCAACAGCTTTACTTGTCGGCTCAAGACACCTGCTTCCTTTCTTTGTGAACCAGGAGAGACTGCGCTTTTTGGAGGGCGAATGTCCTGTACACCTGGGTTGCCCCCCAATTTTTTTGGAAATCAACACAGATTCTCTTTCTGCCTAATATACCAACTATACATGGCGTTGTTTCGGGCTTGTGTACTTCAGACAGGATTGCTCGGAGCCCTAAACTATGTTGGGGTAGCACATCGGTCAATGGTTTCCATTCCTTTGTTGGGGTCACCACAATTCTACTCATGCCACCGGGTCGAACGGAGCAAGTGGAACTACGCAGAACCATTGACTCATGGACCTTCAAGGAGGGGCTGGCTGCTGCTGGACAAGCTGAGTTCCTGTGCATGAATTCGATGACGAGGGCAACAAAGGTTGGCCCTACTGGACGAAATCCTGCACCACTTTGAGACCACGGGAAACCATTGTCGGTATTTACAGGGCAATCATTATCCATCCGGTTTCTTAGGTGGTGCGAGCGGATTTCGTCCATCCACAGTACCCCTCAGGGCCGGGTGATAGCCCACCTGCCTCGGATCTTCTCATCTTCTCGCCAGCTTCGGGAGCATCAACGCCGCGCTGCGGGGCTTTGTTGCGGAGATGAAGGCAGGTTGCCGGGTCGGAGACCGTTGCGGAAAATGGGGTTTGGCGACATTTTCTGTGGTAGCCATGGAATGCCCATGAACATGACAAAGCCACCAGGACGGGAATCCCGCTTTATCACAGGAAAGGTTATTTCTCACAACCATCCTCTGAGAAGCCAGCAGGAAATTCTGCAGGAAGTGAGCCCAAGATAGCCGAACTTCTGGTTGATTTTCCGGCTGGCTTCACATGAAGGGGTTTGAGGGATCAGACCCTATGGTGGGATTCCCCAAGCACGTTGGACACTAGTTTGCCGCAATTCGCCAATTGGTTGGATGCGGTTGGTTCCTTCGCAAATTCAGGCAGCCTTGCATGTGAAAGGCCTCCTTGGGCCTTTCAGGGAGCCAAAGGGAGGCTGTTTGACCCATGGTTCATGTCATGGAGACGGCTGGCGTGGCAAGATTTTGCTGGTCCACCCGGCTTTCGTGGAGAATCACTCACTGTTGCGATGGGGTGATTCCAGCCATTCTTTGCAACCATCGCTCTTTTCCAAAACCAGCCGCTCCTCGGTTTTGGATGGTTTTCTGGGGCTTCCCCGGATGGCTTGTTGCCAATTTTGGTAGCTTTTGCACTTTTGTGTTTTTTGTTACTTTCACAACGGTTTATGTCGGGGCATTCCAACTCATTCCCTGCGTATCGAGCCAGCAATGACTCACCTCCCCTATATAATGTTTTCAGGAAGTGAGGCTTTTATTGTAGTTTGGATTAGTTTGTTTGGGCTTGGTTTGTTTGGCTTGTTTTGGTTTGGGTTGTTTTGGGCTTCAATTGGTTTGGTTGGCTTGTTTTGGCTTGGTTTGGTTGTTCTGGGCTTGGTTTTGTCGTTTACTTTGTTTTCGTTTGTTTGGTTCGGTTTAGTTTATTTCGGGCTTGGTGGTTGTTGGTTTTGGCTGGCTGGTTCGTGGGGGTTCATTTCAGGCGCAGAACGTGTGGGACAGCGTGGTGCTGGCCAGCACCTCGGAGTTCGCCCGGACCTTGGACTCCAACGGCGGAGGCCGGCGGCCGGGTGCCGCCATCCGGGTTCGCGGGGTTCGCGGGGTTCGGGTGCGGACTTGCGCTCAGCTCATGGAAGTGTTTTTTTTTCTTTTTTTCTCAGGAATCGAACGCCCCCCTCCCCCCCCCCCCCCGGCTTTTTCATGTTTGGACGGGTTTCCCAGCTTGGGATTCCCTTTAAAACCACCCCCAGAAATGGGAGCCTCAAGAAATGACAGCCCCAACGGAAGCGGACCGGGATCTTCCCAGGGAAAGTCGTCGAAAACCCGATCATGAGCTTCCATAAGGAGAGTAACCCAGGGGTAGCTGATGTCCCCAGAGAGAACCGGGTGAAGTCCCCAGTGAAGGACCCCTGCAACAACCTTCCAACATTTTGACAGGCACATTTTTTGGATGGACATGCATCAAAAGCAAAGCTGTTTGTGTAAAGGCAATTTTTATGCGAGGGGACTCCTTTTGGATGCTGTTCTCTTGCATGCTTGCGTGACGACACTCCAGCCGAATCTCTTGTGTAAACCTCCCCATGCTTCCCAATGATCCTTTCCAGAAAGCCATCAACATCGGGAACAGGTTTGTTTTGAACAGAATGCTGAACAGAATCGAAGCGGAATCACCACTTCGCCCGCACTTTCGGCCGTTTATGCCGCGCTCCGCTTGCGCAAGCGCAGGCTCAGACCACGCCTGGGCGGGGCAGCACTTCGTGATCGGCGGCAAGGTGAAGGGGGGCCAGATGCTGAACAAGTTCCCCTCCAGTTTGAAGGACTCCGGCCGTTTTTGGACCCAGCTTTTTCGAGCTCTGGTTTCGAGGCGGAGGGTTGGTGCAGGGCGACCTTGGAGAAATCTGTGGAAAGGCTATCAGCTTGAAAACATGATCATTTTCTTAACCCTTTTGAGAGAGATGTGGAACAACTACCCATGGCAGTGCGCGTGCCAAACTGGTCTCGGTGGTAGTAAAGTGGATGACATTGAGAACACTCACCAAACCACCAAATCCCATAGGAGGACACAATGAATATTGCAGGTGGGCTTTTATGCCCGCCTTTTGATATACCCGCCTTTGGATTTTATTCTTGAGTCATCCGTTTCCAAGAAGCGAGCTGGACATCCACAGGAAGTGTGCCAAAGGCCCTCAGGTTGACAAACTTACTGTAGATCCTCTCGCAGGTTTCTCAGCAAGAATCGTTCGATGATCTTTCATACATCCCAAAAGCACGGTTGGACACAAGCCCCCATCTCAATGATGTCCACCAGAGCGTCCAGATTAAGATTCATGTGGGCACCAAGCCTTGGCTCTAAGCTGGCTTCTACTACCCCCGAACCACTATTTCAAGTGATTTTAGTGGGATATTCAGCCACTATGTAGCCACACTTATGCCTTGCACACGGCGAGTATGGGCATGAATTTTAATTATGAACCCTCTGGTGCACATCATTTAGGTGGGGTATGTCCGCCAACCGCTTTCCTGGTGCTTTGCTTCAGTTCATGGCCATATACCTTTGGGGGTGGTTGGGAGTCAGAAGCCATAGCTCCGGGTCCGGCGTTCGGAGGAGGGTGGCTACAATGACCTGGGCCGGGGGCGCTTGATCCCCGAGTACCCGTGGCTTTGCTACGGACGAAGCTGTTTGGACACATCGGACTGGGGTCCCAACTATATAATCCATAGCCATACATAAACCATATACAGATGTGTATACATGTATCCGTATACCCATTCATGGGTCAATGTACGCCCAGCGGAAAGCCATGGGGTTAGGCCCAATAAAGTCTCCCCTTCGGGGCAAGCCATGAACATTTTGGATTGAGGTGGGAGAGCATGCTGGTGCCTATGGCGGAGTGGATGGGCCTCGAAACCACTGCGGCCGTCATGGGTGAGGCGGAACGAGGGGTCGGGGGTCTCGAAATGTTTCGGCGAGGGCGCAGTGCGAGTGCTCGTCTTTAAGGTTGATGTTCCCCTTGGATGACTTCTGGATGCGACTCCACCTTATGGATGACGTTATGGATGATCTACGGACCTTATGGATGATTTTCAATCGAATACTAACAAAGGGTACTCTCGAAGAAATACCCTTGTCAATTAATCTGGATAGTTGAACCATCGTGGGCCATAGTTCTTTCTGAACCCTTGGTTGGAAGAGCTCTGAACAAGACGATTAAGCGGGCTCGAATGGGAGCACCCCTGCATGTCAGGGTGGCCAATGTTTCAATATGGTATGTGTCAAAACAGGGCAACACCCAATTTGGGTGGTTTTCCTGTTGGATTCCTTGTAGACCAACCTGCAACAGGACGCTCAAGAATCACACACGCCCATACCTGTGACCTTGTGTGTAAACTAGCTCCTTTTGGTTCTCCTTTTAAGGGGTACCAGGCTGTCGTTGGTAAAAAACAAATTCTGCTCCACCCTGGTTTTAAAAGAATCCTCTCCTGATCCCCTTACGCGGCTAGTTGAAACCATGTGTGGTTTCAGCCACAGGCTTGGTCCAACCCTTCCAGTGGGATGTCAGGTGTTCCCGAACTTTGGCAACTTCAACTCCTCCGTGGTGCAGGGCCAAGACTTCCTCTTCGAGCCATGAGTCCACGTCGAGCCATGAGCCGCCTCGGGAATGGGCCACCGCGCCCAAGTTTGTTGCCCGAGACCTGGAGGCAACGCTCGGGTTGGGAGAAACAAAGGCCATGAGACGAGGCGCAGCTCGGTTTGCTTTCTAGGGCTTGAACGAGAAGCAATTGACGCCGATCAATCTATTCGTTACATAGTTGGACTTGGTTGAAAGAGAACCCCCCCATGACTGTTTGTTTTCCTGTTCTTCAGCAGGAATGTCGGACCTTGCACTTGGCTCTTTGCTTGACCGAACTGCGTGAGGGTGGCCTGAATGTACGGGGGATCCGGAATGGGGTCAATAACGTTGGGCTGGCGTTTTTGTGGGTCACGGCAATTACAGGCTTGCACGATGGATAGAGGATTCCTTTTGTCTACGTCAGGATTCTGGATCACTCTTGGGTTCCCTCCAGGTAAGGTCGTTAAAGGGGGCCCAAAGTTGTTCAAGGGCTTAAGTCAACTGGGTTACCAAAACTGAATGGTCGTGTCTCTCGTTTGGGTACCCCGTTTGGAGTGGTTTGAAAGGAAATCTAAACGTTTTGGTTTTTGTTGGGGGGGATACCTGTTTTACACAACTCACTTAATGGTCAAACCCAAAGGCTTCCCTAAACCAGAGGTTCCACAAACCAGGGGTTTACTGGGTTCATTGTGTTTAGGGTTATCAAAGTCAGAAACTGGTTCTGCTTCCCTTCAGGTGCGACTTTGACAATAGTCAAACCAATGGGGCCCATGGGGCCAGGTTCCCAGAACCACATCGTCAACCCCGCAAAATGCTTCACCTCCCAACTTGCCGCGTGCCTCGCTGAATTCGAGCGGGTCCCGTCGAGCCCGGTGCTGCAATACGGAGACGCCATTTCAGCCGCGGAGATTTGATGTAGCTGATTATGTGGGTATGGGTCTGGGTCAAACTTAAACCAGGGGACCGCAGGTTTTAGTCCTTGGTTCCATTTGCCAAGGCTCTATTTGAGTACCGTTTTTCACCCACAGCCGTGCTGAGGCCTGAAGCTTGATAGCTAGAAGGTGAGAACCAAAAGTCAATGCGCCGAAAGTCAATGCGCTGCTCGGTCGGGGTGACGTTCGTTTGCTTGTAATGGCAACCCCTTTTTGAGGATGTGTCAAAGGGCCCAAAGGAATCCACTCATTTTCGGGGGTCTCCCTTACTCTGATACATACCGCAACATATCCTTTTCGTTTTCCCATGCTCGAAACGTTGAGTCCGGCGTTGCAACTGCGTGGCACCTCATGCCCTCTATGTTCTTCATTGTTAAAGCAAGAATGCCTTAGTCAAGATTCGAAAAGGACAAGCCTTTGATCGGCAAGCACTGAACTCATGGAAATCCACGGGAGGGGCGCAATGGTGGTTGCGAACCTCCCATAGTTAAAGCACAACCAATGCCATGAGTGGCGAATTAATCCGCGATTGTGACTTTTCTTTTGGTTCCTCTAACCAACCTATCACGGATGTCCCGCGCGTTCCAAGCGTCTCCGTTTGGGCCGGGCTCGTAGCTTTAGGCCGAAGAGCTGGGGTGTGCGCTGTCTAGTCGCCCACTTCTGCTTAAAAATTGGCACTTGGCGGTTCCCTGCCATTGACCTTTAGACTTTTAGATGTAGGGATTTATGCCATATCCTCATCAACGTTGCACAACGTTTTGGCAAGGGAGGTGATTGGTGAAGCGTGAAGCTAGGTACCCCTTTGTTGATTCGGGAAGGTTCCCCCACCATTTCTTTCCTTCGGAATCGCTCAGAGGTTGACAAACATAGTCCTGGCGTCGGGGAGAGAAAGACACTTCTCAAAGTGCCCTGAAAGGCGTACATATCTTATATTTTGGTGAGCAACATCCTCCCAGGTGTGTGGATACAAATCTTGCCATGCAATGGTCTTCATCACAGGGTCTCGAACAATCACACCAGCAAGCCGTTAAGCTTATCATGCAAGGGTCAATGGCCATCCAGATCGAGGACAACTTCAGGTACTCAACCCCCCCGCCCCAAGCAAAAAACAGTGAAACGCAGTGAAACGCTTCCAAACGAAAAGCAGCGAACCACAGCCCCAACAGAAGCCGGGGACAGACAGGAAACCAACCGGAAACCGGGGCTCCTCGATTTGGAGACACACCACCTCTCAAGACTAACATGGATTTGGCCAAGACGGACACTTTTTGTTTGCTAGGATCAAAGGGATCCTTTTTCACAGTGTCAGCAAAAGGAGGGCTTGTGGATTCTGTAAACATTCCAAGTGACCACAAAACCACTATCACATTTGCTAGGTTATGCTCATATTTCCAACTTCCCCCCAGCTGTTTGGAAGTAGCCGCTTCCACCAAACCTTCAACCCACCCTACAAGCTACTCTACTACCCCCCCCTACAAAGCCACCTGAATATCCACCCTACAACCTGCCCCAATACCCCAATACTCGCCCTGCAGCCTAGCACGCCCAAACCTGCCCTCCAAACCAACCATTCGGTGCGGAAGCTAGGGCAAGTCCACCTCCCCGCTCTCCGGCATGCATGTGGGACCGAGTTGACCCCGGCAACCCGTCCCGGGGTCAAAGAGCGAGCCACCAAAGAAATGTTTCCCTTCCAGATTTTATAGCTGACATGCTTGACTTTGTGACAGAAAAGGGCAATGGTCGCTCGCGTTTTACAATTCGGCCGCGGCTGGTCAGATGGGTAATAAAGAAGGCCCTCTGCTCCGGTCGCGGTTTGCCTTGCGCCGATGCCTGTACAAAACAGAATCGGTACATGCCAATCGGTTGGGTAGTTGACCTTCAGTCGACTAGTCCAGGGCACTTGCGAGTCGGCACGGGCGCTTTTGTGCGACTTCTGATTTCAGCTCGCTGAGTTGATGGCTTGGCTTTGTATGGAGCATACTAGCGCTACCCGATTTATTGAAGAGGTCCCCCAACCTTTTGGGTGTGTTTGTTGAGGTTTGTAGAGGTCGGAGGAGAAAAGACAGAAGACCTTTTAATTTTTGTTCTATATGGGTCACTTGGGGTGTTGAAAACGAAGATTCATGCTGAGGGTGCCTTTGGGAGTCCACTTCTTATTTTTGGTTCGGACAATCATTGTGATCCCAGTCAAAGGCACGGTTGTGGAACAAATGGATAGCGCCCGTCAGGTGTTTACCATTTAGGATCAGAGAACGACGGCAGTCCCCGTAGCAAGCCCATGTGCCGGCCGCGTCAGAAGCGCTCTGGACCGAGCAGACAGCAGGGCTGCTCTCTGCCCCGGAATCGGCTCGCGCGGAGAAAGAGGTCTGAGCATCTGGCTGTGTTTGTTCTTCGTTGAGGGTACCCTTTTGGGATGGTTTAAAATGGAAGCCGAAAGGAATCCCCCACTTCATCCATGACAATCTTCCTTTCATAGGAGAATCTGCGTGGTTTAAACATTGCACCTTTGGTTGCCTAGCAACGGACATTTAGGGAACCTTGTTGGGTGCCGGATGCGTTGAAACAACCGCTTGCACCCCCTTTGGGCTTTCCTTTGAAAGGGAAATCAAAAGAAGGTTGCTAACAGTTAAAGCATCGGCAGTTCCTTCCTCAAAGGAGAGTGTCAGAGTCGGGACCCTTTGGGGAACGGGTGGTTTCAGAAGGAATCCAAGATGAAACCCACCTACAGTGTTGCTCCAAGCTTGAAATTAACGGCCAAGCCAAAAGAGTAGAAGACATTGGGAATGGGAACCCCAGATCGAAGTAGGACCCATCCTACTAGACAGGCGTCTGATCCGGATCTCCACTAGCCAGCCCGTTTTAGAGGTTAACATTTTTTTAAACATATATATATATATATTTATTTATTTATTCTTTCCCTTTCCAGGGGCCTGATAAAGCTTACCTTGAAGAAATGCATAACTTGATTTCCATGATGCACAAACTCCGCCAGTTGGATGGAACCCTATGACACTGGGGAAAGGAAGCAAAATTCAGCTGGCGCAGGAGGTATCCATTCAGGTGTACTGGTTTCCTCATGCGCCACAATCAAGATATTTGGGTAACAATTAGCAAAAGAAATCCCCCAAACAAGATGGGCTGCAAAAGGACTATTCTGCAGTGTTGAGAGGGGAGCCATGGGAAGACTTTGGCCCTTAATGGACTTTGATGGGATTCAATTGGCCACAATGCCTCCTTTCTACGGTTCGGAATCAATGCACGTTCTAACAATAGGACACCCCGGTTCAAAATCAACCAAGGGCTTATGAATCCGGGGTTCCCTTTATGCATGAGACACCGCCCAGGCGTTTTTCTAAGGGGGAACTCTGGAGATTCCACACGCCCTCTGGGTCAACGGGGGATTACTTGGGGGTTTCGGGGTGCTCTAAACGCCAATTGAGTCACAATCAAAACCGGGGGTACATTGGAGGGTAGGGGCCAATCCCCGCCATAAATGGGTGCTGCCGCCTTTTCACTTCCTTACATGGTTCTGGGTAGACCATTTGAATACCGGGTTTTGATTTTGACTCAATTTGGATCTCCCAGAGTCTCCATGACAGGTGACTCCATAGTTTTGAGTATAGGAGCCCATTTGTTCAGGGTTGCGGCTTCAGGCATAGGATAATGTTAGCAAGGCATAGCTTGTTTGGCTTCCGGAACAGGTGGCATCCCGCCGTCTTTTGGCTCTGGCCAAAGACTTCGAGAAAACCCTCCAGTTGGGATCAAAGTTCTTGCCGAAGCTGGTTGCAAACCGGGCGAGGCAAAGTAGGGCTTGTGCATATTGGAGGGACCCCAATGGATTTGTTTCCTTCGGGTTTTCCTGTAAGAAAAGACTCTAAGAAGGGTACTCTCAACAGACACGCGCATGACACTTTGCCAGCAAGTTTAGTTTTAGTCCTTGCCGTTTGGGATCCCACCAATGTGCTTCTCTTTTGGTGCTGTTTCGAGCCAAGGAATGAACCCGTTTAGGAACTTCACGCCTTGGACTTCAAGAGCGGTCCGGGTCGGTCCGGGTCACTTTCCAGCACACCCATCCCTTGCTCCTTGTGGGGGACTCCATGGACTTTAAGGGTTTCTGGGAAGACCGGAAGGTTCACCTCAGATTCATCCACAAACCAGGGCTTCCCCATGTTGTCACAAAGAAAACCCTCAGCGTCCATCAACGGGCGGGCAGGGAGCAAT